CTGTTGGGTGTGGGTTTATTGAAACTGAAGGAATTCCAGCCTTAAACTCTGGTAGTAAAGCTTAAGAGATCAACTCTGTTGCTCTTCCTATTTTCTGTTGAAGCCAACAGCCCTAAGATTTCTGCTCAGCTTTTATAAAAAAATACTAGCCGATAATCCAGGATTGCCTGGGTATTTATTTTATAGGGGGGAAATGTTCAGACGAAACATAATTATTAATGTTGGATTTTTCCCTCTTACCAGTGGGAGTCCCATTGTGGAGTACTATGAAGCCGTTACCATGTCTGTACAGTAGAAGCCATTTTATGGCAGTACAGTAGAAGCCATTTAAAGGCACAACAGGCTGCATATTAACAGAACACATACCCCACGGGGTGTTAAGGGTGTCTTACACCCACATTATTTTTCTCCAGAGAGTAAGACATCTGTGTACCAAGTTTGGTTGAAATTGCTTGAGGTGTTCCAGAGTTATGCTGGAACATACACACATACAGCCACACATACAGCCACACACACACGTGCGCGCACACACACACACACACACATATGTAGGCTGATATATTTTGTAGAAATAAAGTGGCTACCCTGAACAATGAAGTTAGTTTTTGTATTTCAACAGAGCTCACATACAAGAAGTCAAGATGTTTCTACAATGCTTCCTTCTAATCTCAATCAATTTAGAGGGCTCTTTTGGTAATTAAACACCAACTCTCAAATGGAACTTGAAGCCTTTGTTTCTTCATTAGAATTATAAGTTGAGCTGATCATTAAAGAAACAGAATCTATGAAATCTTTCCTGTCACAGAAGAACAATTTTCAAAAGCTGTTGAATCGTGTTTCATGAGGCAAGGAGTGTCAGCTACCTCTCTTGATCTGAAGGCGAGAACAGTAACACAGAGAAGTTTGCTAAAACTTTGAAAATCCCTTCAAAGATATTTCTGTTACATCTGAGAAATCCATATCTATTAATTTAGAGAGTACTGAGAATTATCCACCAACACCTCTTTGTTGCCAGAATTTGATAAGAAAAGGTTCAGAGACTCTCTAGAACAATATATTATAAACCTGGAATGCTGGTTTTTATATCTCACTTAAAGATAATGAGAAATTCCAATGCTGGAATTAGCCCTGACTTTAATATTCTTTCTTCTTCTGACCCATAGTGTATCCATGAACTTCAAGCTCGAATTAATCATGTAAGGCTCTCTAAACATTTTAAAATTAATTTTCCTGATATCTTCCTTGTTCATATGGCAGGTCACCTTGTTATTACTATTCTTAATGAAATCCTCATTTTGATTCAACTGGTGAAATACACTTTTATTTCAGGTCGTGATTCCAATACAGTTGATTATATTCCAGTCTCTGCTTGTCTATATTCTTCTGTCTACAGTTTTTCTGTCAACTTCTGAACTGTGATAATGTGCCTCTTATATTTAACCTGACTGTTGCTTCTTATTTCTGATATTTTCTTAACCCTCCGTGTTCTTCTTCTATACTGATTTAAAGGCATAGGCGAAAATGCAATGACCTGACCAGATACAATCTAAACAATCTATGTCCTTTGTTTTTCCCTAGGCTTCAGTCCTTCTAGGTTCAGGGATGAGCAAGCCCACCACTACAGCATTCTGGCCGAAATGTGGTTTTTGAGTGGTCTTCAAGAGCAGATCCATGTAAAGCACATTGCACAAGTCAAGCTATGTGGGTCCAAGAGTGTGAATGACACATTAGATGGGTGCCTGATCCAAGAAGAGGTGAGTCTAATACACCAGATGGAACTGGGCAAATAGCAGTTAGCAATAGCAGTTAGACTTATATACCGCTTCATAGGCCTTTCAGGCCTCTCTAAGCGNCCCTTCCAATTCTGCCATTCTCTATTCTGGAAGTGATCTCAGAGGTCATCTAGTCTGGCCCCTGCCAGTACAGGCTTTCCTCCAGCGTTTCCCACCCGTGACGCTGTCCCATTTCACGAAGCAGCCCCTTCTGTGGGTTGACAGCCAGGAGTTTCCTCCTCATTCCTAACTCTGGGAATCTCTTCCTCCCGGAAGTTCAACCGGCCACTTCGAGGGCTGAAGACTCGGGGATCGACCCTTCGGCAGGCTCTCTGGCAACCCCCCGAAAGAGCAACTGCCCCCCCACTGCTGCCCCCCATGCTGCCCCGTGGCCAACCAGGGCCTGCGGTTGGTGACTGGGGGATTCTGGGATTGGCAGTCCCCACGGCTTTAAGTTGCCAAAAACTCCCATCTGAAAATCCAGCAGCCCCAATTTGTCCTGCCCTCCTTTCTCCAGTGCAGGAAGAGGAAGGTGGCCGAGGGCAGAGCCCGGGGGCCGGCCAGGGGGCGCTCAGCCCTCCAAGGAACAGCATCAAACAACCCCCTTCCTCTCTGACCTTTGACCGCAGGGCGACAAAGAGATTGCGGTGAAGAGTTGCGATCAGGCGGAGTTTACAAAAACTGGGCAAGCAGCCATCAGCAGCCGGTTCCTTGGGGATCGAAGAGGCTCCGATAAAGATAAAGTGGTAATGTTATTATGGGATGCTGAACTTTGAGGGCTGGATCCCCTCTGCTGTGGAGAAACCCCCCCGGGAGCCCCAGAGGGAAGCGGTTTCTGGCCAGCAGGGAAGAGCAGCCGGGTCCCTCCTGCCCCCCCACAATGGGCTCCGGGTACTTCAGCGTCCCTGTCTCCTGTTTTGGGGGTTAAAGGTCAGGGATTCTCTTCGCCTGCTCACTTTGGGAGCCCGGCTGGGAGCCCGGCAGCCTCCCCGGGGCCATAGACACCCCCCCCCCCAGGACATCCATCAAACCCACTGGGGGTGGCCGGGAACAGCCCCTCGTTCAGTCAAGGGCAGCTGGAAGGAGAGCCAGCCTGGCTCATCTGGCAGAGAAGGGGGGGAGGGGGCAATTGGGACCCAGGGCAGGGAATAACCCCATAGTCCCCAAGGGAGGGGTGTCTCCCCCCAGCCCCCCCTCTTTTTCACAACTGCCATGTAGATGTAGAAAGAACAGAGGTTTTTAAAGATCCCAGCAGGTCCGGTTGAGGTTTCTGGTGCCAGGGGGTCCTGGAATCCTTGCCTCCCCTTGACCCTTGGGGGCCCGGTCCAGCTTCCCCTCCCCCGTGGGTTCTGCCGCTGCTTTTGTTCAACCATCACTGGAGTGGGTGGGTGCATGGGGGTGCAAGAATTGCCCAAGAGCCGCAGGAAGGACGCTGACCTCCCCTTTCCGCTTTCTCTGCCAGTGTCAGCCAGGCGTAGCCAAAGAGCCTCCCTGGGAATCTTGACGGGGCTCCGTTGCCCCCCCCTCCCCCACCGGGGCTTCCCTGCTGGAACTGCCCTGATCCTGTGCCCAGGATGTTCGGTCCGAAGAGGTCCTTCGACGGGCCCCCGGCCGGCTACGGCCCCCCTGGGGAGGACTACGGGTACCCCATCAAGTCGCCCCCCCCGGGCTCCTACTACATGGAGGACGAACCCCAGCATTTCTACAAGTGGAGCTCCCCGCCCAGCGTGATGCGGATCCTGGAGGGCCTGGGAATCCTGCTCTGCGTGGCCATCTTCGCCTGCGTGGCCTCCACCCTGGTCTGGGACTACAGCTACGGCGGCCTCTACGGCGGCTTAGGGGGCGGCTACTACGGCGGGGGCTACGGCGGGGGCTTGGGCAGCTACGGCGGAGGCTACGGCGGCTACGGCGGAGGCTACGGCGGAGGCTACGGCGGCTACGGCATGGGGGGCTACTATGGGGGCGTGACCAACCCCCGGGCGGCCAACGGCTTCATGATCGCCATGTCGGTGCTGTGCTTCATCGCCCTGCTGGCCCTGGCCATCACCAGCCTCACCAAATCGGGCGCGTCCCGGTCCAGGAAGTTCTACCTGGCGGCCCTGGTGGTCTGCGCGCTGATGGCCTTCGTCATGCTGATCGCCTCCATCGTCTACATCATGGGCGTCAACCCCCAGGCCCAGATGGGGGGCAGCTACTACTCCGCCAACCCCATCCTGGCCCTGTGCAACCAGGTCTACGCCGGGGGAGGCCTCTACAACCAGTACCTCTACCACTACTGCATGGTGGACCCCCAGGAGGTAGGAGTCTGGCTGGGGGACGGGATTGGGGGAGGGCTGCCTGGCCCTCGTGATTCCTCTCGGGGCCCCGGCTGGTGGGTTAGGCTAAGAATAGGGTAGAACGGAATTACAGAATTACAGAATAGAATTATAGAACAGGAGTACAGGAATGGAGTGGAATGGAAGGGGCCTTGGAGGTCTTCTAGTCCAGCCCCCTGCTGAGGTTTTAAGGTTTTTAATTTAAGGTTTAATTTTATTTGTATGTCGCCCTTTTCCCTGAAGGGACTCAGGGCGGCTCACAACTCAAAAGGGAGGGGAAATACAAACAGAGTAACAAAAAACATAAAAAACCATACATAGTTAAAAAGCATAACAATCATACCATTCGAAGTGGGGCA